CATAATTTCTGGAGACAGAATTCAACTGAGCAAGGAAAGACTAAAAGCCTTTAGGAGTTGCCTGCACCTTAAAATTTAAGTGAACTATGTTGTATAATTGGCATGGTCAGATACTTAAGCAAATTCTTACCCAACTTGTCTGAAACAATACAACCAAGGATGGAATTATTGAAAAAGGACTCTGTATTTGTTGAGATTACTGACTAGAGAATTCTTTTAAAACAGTAAAAGAATTACTAACTCTAGCACCAATTCTAGCATACTCTGATCCAACTCGACCTACAGTAGTTAGCACTGACGCTAGCACTTATGGTCTCAGAGCAGCTTTATTTCAAGAAATAGATGGGAAAATAATAGCATTTGCCTCACACACACTCAATAGTGCTGAGAGGAAATATGCACAAATTGAGAAAGAGTGTTTGAGCTGTGTTTGGGTATGTGAGAAGTTTGACAGATATGTCACAGAACTCAAATCCTTTAAAACTGTTAATGGACCATGAACCACTTATACCATTAATAAACATACATGATCTGTACAGTACCTCATTATGATGTCAAAGAATTCTGATAGGACTGAGAAGATATAACTTAGTAGCAGAACTTGTTCAATGGAAGGAATTAGTTGTACCTGATACACTCTCAAGAAGTCCTTTATTTAACACTGATAGTGTTACAGGAAATAATACATCTCACTCTAAATGGATGAACACACAAAGAAGGAAGAATAAAAGAAGGCATAAGGCCATATTTTCCAAGTCAGTTCATAACAGTATACTATGGTTTCAGGACAGAATTGTTATACTTGAAAAACTTAGACCAGAGATATTAAGGACACTTCATAATGATCACTTGGGACTAAACAAATGTTAAGAGAAAGCCAAAGAATTGATGTGATGGCCTAAAATATATCAGGAGTTGGAGGAGTACCTAAAAAAATTGCTTGTTTTGTAACATACACAGTTCAACAAATAAAAAGGGAAAATTAAAAGTAACACCATTTCCTCAAAGTCCATGGAAAAGAATTAGTACAGATATTTTTAATCACCAAGGACACCAATATAAAACTGCAATATATTATTTTTCAAGATATATAGAAATAGCAAGGTTCAATCCAATGACAAGTGTTATAGGGAAGTTGAAAAATTTCTTTTCACATTGGGGAACTCCTATTCAACTTGTTGGTGATAATGGGAAACAATTCACATCTTACGATTTCAAAGATTTTGTAGACAATTATGGATTTAAACACAACATCAAGTTCACATTATCTCAAGCAAATGGTGAAGTAGAAAGCACTGTTAAAATAGCTAAGAGAATTTTGAATCAATCAGACACATTTCTAGCATTAACAACATACCATAGTATGCCAATTCAAGCCACAGAAATCAGTCCCTCAGATTTAATTATGGGAAGAAAAATAAGAACCACCTTTACATCCAAAAAAGTTATTACCAAGATTGCATGTTTTCACACAAATCAGGGAGGGAGATAAACTGGCAAAAACCAGAATGGAAAAGAATTTTAACAGATTCCATGTTGCTCGAAATTTATCAACTCTAAAAAGAGGAGATAGAGTTAAAATAAAATTAGATAAAGAAAAATATTGGAATACTGAAGGAACAATCCAGTCAGCAGACACTGACAACATGTCATATATTCAACTATTAAAGTGATTTATGAAGAAATAGAAAATATTTTTCATTTTCAGGTTTTGAAAATATACTTTTAAGAAATAAACCAATTAGTAATCAGTACAAGGATCTTCAAACAAATAATAATACAAGAGAAAGTATTGCGAAAAATATGAGATGAACAATACAAACTCCAAAACATTTGTTTGATTTCACAAAATAAGTGAGTTATTGCCCTTGGACAAAACAAACATGTAATCATTTATTTTGTAATTTAGAAAAGTTTGAAATAAATTAATAAAGAAAATAAATTACCTTAGGAAGGGAAATGTTATAACATTAACAATGTTGATTATGATGATTGTAAGCACTTCCAGTCCCACTAGGGAATGCTGAGAGCAAAATGGATCCAGTGGCACTTTGAATTAAACAGTTGTTAAGTTTACCATGTCTTGTACCATCTTTGTGTTGCTTCAACTTTTTAGCAGCCAGTCTCATATAATTTATCTTTCCACCCTAAGCTCAGTGGAACAGTACCAATTTACTATTGTTATTGAATTTCATTTTCTGTAGTGAATTTCTACAGGTTTGTATGTAACATTTGACATCAGTACCATGTGTAAGGCTGAACTCCATTCTGATTTTGATGGGGACATTATTCCTGCTTTTTGGAGTACCCTAAATTTCTCTTTCACTATTCACTCGAATTTCTGTGCTGATAGTTCTTATGGTTTAGAAAATGTGTGTGTTGTGGAGGTGGGGGTGCTACCAACCTTGACCCTATGAAAAACATTCAGTTTTGCTGCATTAGGGTTGTGATGAGGTGAAATTATGTTTGGATTTTTTTCCATAATTCTCCATGCCATCATGTTAGCAGCATTATCTTGGTCCACTACGATGCTCATAATCTCAGGAGTCAGCTTTGTATTAAACTGTTAGATTGTGTCAATCAGTAGACTGTTTGTGCAGTTGACCATCAGACCAAAATGATTTTTAAGAAATCATAACTGAGGAGAGGTTTTTTGGTATCTGAGATCATAAAAGTTCAGGTGAACTCATGTGTGAGGTTGTGCAACACCAAATTTAATCTATCTTGTCCTGAGCATTCAATTTTCTGTTTGTTAGCAGACACAACAGAGATATTTGTTGGGTAGATAGCTACACCACCTAAATATTTCTTAGATCTGATCAATGTGGCAGTTCTGCCCACTACAAAACTTTTAGTTAAACGGTATCTTCAAGAAGTGGCAAATAAATGGAGGCTGATACATCCCTTCAAATTAGTTTTCCAACATCTCAGAAGGTGCAGGTGGGTGGGAACTAGGTTGTATTTTAACATTCTTTTTCTCCAGCCACTGCACAATGGCTTGCAGAATTTTACATGTTCAGCAAAATATAAATGAGCCTGACAAACTTTTGGTTTGGTTTGGTTTGGTTTGGTTTGGTTTGTCTTGTTTTACGGCATATCAACCTCAGTGGGTTAATTAATGCCAACAAGATTTTTATTGCTGGTAATATTTTTTTTTTCAAAAATGTATTGCTGGTAATAATTTTTCCTTCAAAAAATTTATTTCTGGTATTAAAACCTATTTTTATAATTTCATAGTGTATTGACCCCAGTTTGGGGATTAACTATTTGCCCATAGCTGGGACCCTAACAGTTGTTACCACTCCAGGTCAGGATGGAAACATCAGCAATTAAGAGCTGGTTCCATGCTCCTCAAGACCTCCTGATAAGAGGACTTGCTGTCAGATGTAGTTTATCATATTACCCAGGACACAGATGTAGTTTATCGTCATATCCAGGACGGCAAACTTTTGGATACTAGTCCTTATTGAAAATAGCAAACACTGGGTGAGCAGTTGCTTGTTCTCCTTAATGAATCCATAATTCTGTTACTATGGTACTGACCTTGTGTCATTTATTAAAATATATCAGATCATCCATTATTTTCCCAAGGCAATCTGTTTCTAGATTGATAAATTTGATGCTATCACTGGCTTGATGGATGGTGGTAGCACCTGAATAAACAATGCAATTGGCTAGTGATATAAGTTCATTTAGATATAAAGAAAGATATCCTGTCATTCTGAAAGATGATATCAATTTGTTGAGCATCTCTAATTTACATTTTTTATATGGGCTTCTTTTAGTTTTTCAAAATCCTTTGATTGGAGCATGGCTGGTTGTAATTCTTCACCTATATCTGGAGGAAGTAATCCCAGTATGTGATAAAATTTTTACCATGTTTCTTTTATGTCTGCAATGCAGGACTGGGCTTCCATGATGGAAAACTACACTTGCATGTTTGATTAAATGATAGCAGGTGGTTTGACTGATACAACTTGTTCAGTTTCACTCCAATCTCACCTAAAAAGAAAATTGAATCTTAACCAAATAAGGATGGTATTTTTATCTTGTGAGATAAACAGATGTATACTATATATATATATATATATATATATATATATGTATGTATATATTTAAGAACATTATGAATGTAAGATTCTCCTTCTTATAATCGCAATCACCCTACGCAAGGCAGTAAAGCCACTAAGACACAAGGGGTTACTGGATGTTGAAGTATTAGAAAACAGAAACATTACTAAGGAACAAGAACAAAAGAAGTCATCTTTAATCTTTAGAAGTTTAAATCAATGTCAGTCGCTATCTACTGTCCTCAGTAGATAGCAATTGACATTGCATTTAAACTTTGAATATTAAATCTGACTGGAAAGCATGGAGCTGGAAGGGAGTTCCACAAGTGTGAGAAAAAACTGTTAGCATAGAACTTATGATTACATCTAGCCAACTCAATTGATTACACTCATCACCAGTCTAGTACTGCACTTAAATTCATAAAGTCTAGGTAACATAGTGAAGAGTTCATCTGAACAATTACCATGATAGTATTTATAAAAAAAAGTCACAGAGTGGCAAGATCTAGGCCAATAATATTGCTGATTCTTCTTTGGATTTTATCAAGGATCTATAGATATATAGCAGGAAACTCGGACCATATGTGGCAGTATTACTCTAAGCGTGTACAAATGGTAGACTTATAGATATGTAAGATTGATTCTGGAGAGAAAAATTGTCTGGCATGGCACAGTGAAGCAATTTTGGCAGGGCAGCTTACCTAGCAATGGATTCAGTATAATCTTTCCACTTCATGTTAGCTAAGAATGTTAGCCCGAGAAGGTGCAGTGAGTCACTCTCCTGGAGGTTATGCTGATGGAAGGCAGAAAGTGATCTTTTAGATGATTAACAGAGAGCGATTTAGTTTTCAATATGTTAAAAATAAAAAGCCATCCTTTGCCCCAATTGTGAACTTGTATTTTTTTTTGTTCTTTTAAATGTCTTCTCAGATACCCAATCCTGATCCTCTCAGTAGTCAGAAAACATTATATGATATTTGGAAGCTGCGAACAACAGGTTCTGATGAAAATTCTGACTCCACTCCAGAGTAAGTATATTTCATTATTATTTTTTTTTTATATAAATTTTCAAATTGAAATCTGACCATTGATTATGATCTGATCATTATTGATTCTTTGTGTTTGCAATTCAGGCAGTCTTTTTTTTTTCTTTCATTTATGTTCATACATTTCCATATGACTTTTTAATTCACTTTTTTACTATATATTCACAATAACATTAGTGTAAAACTGAAGCTCATATAAGGTTGAGATACAATTCAAAATTTATTTCTATAGATTTCATCCCATTGCTGAAATACTTCAGAGACATGCTGAAATAAATGTCTCAAAAACTGTTTAGATTTCTGGATTTATATTTTTTTTTTTCATTATAATCATCACTTTGATGAAAAACTATTTTAGCAATTTTTGTACATATACAATGCAATTTAAGAATAATTTAATCACTCTGCCTTATTCCTAAGTATTACTTCCCTTTTAGTCTACATGGTAACCTTTCAATGGCTCATACTTCATTTCAGTCAGTCATTTTCCTGTTGCCATAGCAGAACTTAACAACATAATCATGAAATTCAAGTTTGCTAACTTTCAGCAAAAATATTGTGTTGCTTTAGTGGCAACACAATATTTGTTTGGCAAATCAGTTCATCTATAAAGAGAACTTGAAGTTATTCATTATTTTTTCACTGAAAGTAACTATTATTTGCATTGATCAAAAATCAGATTTGAGGTTCATTTTTATTTGATAAACTTCTGGAGATTTTCAAATGGAATTTATACTTTCAATATATCCACATTTTCTCCTCCACCAGTCTCTCCTATTCCAAACTATGTAAGCACTCATTCTGACATATTTCCAGGTGTATCTATATCCTTTTGTTCCTCATCAGTTTTTTTTCTTATTGTTTGGTTATCTGTTAATGAAGTAGGACAGAAATACCAGCAGCACCAGAATCAAACACTAAATGAACTGAACACTGGATCATGACAAGCAGGGCATGAACAAAATTCCCACACAGGAACATGACACATGCAGGAAAAACACAGCCAAGACGCCAGAAACAGAAACAAGGATGAATGAATTTCAAACAATGCTGGTAGCACAGAGAGAAATCTGTGCTACCCTGCATTGTTTGAAATTGCATTGTGCACTGCCAGACTTCTTTCCGGAAAATGTTCCTGCTTTTATGGATCCTAAAACTTTATCATTTGGCTAGCTCACTGTCCTGAGTATTTCATGGGGAAGTTGGTAGATACTTTCTTTGTTCATAACCAGACACCCCAGAGTTTGCACTGGCTCTTTTCTGGCAGGGCAGCCATTTGGTTTCTTCCTGCAGAGACAGCACACTAAACATTGTCTCTTTGATTGATAGAGGTGGGTACCATTATCAGTAGCAGTAAGTAGCTCAGTCTGCATTTTGTTTTGGCAACAATTATCTTTCTCAGGGCACCTACCTATATGTGATTATATGCTATCATCTTATTCTTTTTGCAGTACAATCTCTTCCACATGCTTCCTAGAAGTTCTAAATTGTTTCTTTCTTTTCTCCTTGATCAGAATTAGCTATTCACTTGGTTCAGGCAGTGATATGGCCACTTTCTACCAGCGTGCTGGAGTACCAAGCATGGACTTTTACTACACATATGATACAGTAAGTTTATCTAAATTTAGCCCATGTCACTTTCAAAAATATTAAAAAGAATATTTAAACTGAAATAATTTTTTACTGGTAAGAAATTACCACCTTTTTCTTTTTTTGTCATTATAAAAATATTTAAGTAAGCTATATATCAAAATTTATTTAAAAAATTATGATTTCTTTTTCTATCTCCAGTAGACAAATTCATCAATATTATTTCAATTTAGATATTGACTATTGCAAAAGTATAATCTTTTGAGTCATTGTCAGCCTTATATTATTTTAAAGGCACCATATACTTATTAATTTTGAAAATAATACATCAAAATATCTTTTAAAATATATTTTGTCATTTTTATTCAAAAATCAGTAAAATGTTGATTCTTACTTAATAAATTTCATAATAATATAACAGTAATAATAGTAATAATGAATTTGAATAACAAAAAATAATTATTATAAGATTTGATAAAAAACATTTAATAATAATACATTTTGATGTCATATATTCATTTACAATTTATTTTATAATAAATTATAAATAATGAAACAATTATGACTTTAATGAGAAATTCTCTTCTGCTTGCAGAAAAAATGGCCAATTTTATCATATCCAACTTACCACACTGCCTATGAAACATTCCACATGTACAGCACATTTATTGATCCAAGCTTCAACTACACATTAGCCATAACACAACTCTGGGCTATATTGACATAGTAAGTTTCTCATTTGCATCATAGATACCATAAAACTACAAAACTATAAAAATCAGATTCTTAAGACATAAACTTTGAAAATGTTTAATTTTGCAAGCACTTTATGTTCTTAGAACTTTCTTTCTAAAGATGCATAATCTTGTTACTTACTTACAATACATAGAACTTTCTATTATGTTACTTATTAGGGTCCTATTCTTAAAATTGTGTAATTGTTTTTTCTTTAAATTATCATAATTCTCTACCTAAATGTTCATACTTGTTCTACCAATTAAGAAAAAACAAAAGATGTGTTTTTGAAGAATATATTACTGGATATTTTAAAGAAAGAAGCATATGTGATAGCTTTTAAATGTGGACATTTCCAAAAAGTGCTAGTAGCTCCTTGTTAATTGCAGATGTCAGAAGAAAATCTAAGCATTCTTTTTAGCACAGTCAGGATATGCTGTCCAGAAAGTACATTTCTGTGCCTCAGGCAAATCAGATCCTGCTACTCTTAATTAGAAGTCAATCACTATCCTAAAGATGAAATATTTGTTCTTGTCTATGTAGTTAAAGCACAAAGAATATTGTTTACAAGAAGGAGTCAGTCCTTATTGCTATACTGGTCACAACCATTTTCCAGAACCAGTAGACAACTGAATATTCCAACATAGTAGATACTGATAAGGTATTTTGTCATCAGCTGTCAAAGCCTTAGTATTCATGCAATTAGTTACTGCTGGTTAGTTTTCAATAAGTGAAGCCCAATTCAGCCCTTGAAATATCATAAATAATGAGACAAAGTTTATTTTATTTGCTGATACCTGAGCTGATCACAAAGCTCCAATGTTGTCAATTAAAAAGTATGATCAGCTCAAAGATGTATCCTTCTAATTATGATATACCAATCTAAAGCTTTTCACTGTTATCAGAACAAAAATTACATTCTATTTATAAATAAATAAAAAATTCATTCTATTTATAAGAATTAATGGCTACAGTTAGAGTGTGAGAAGACTTAGTGAAACACCATTATATACAAGTTCTCTCACTCCTTATTGCATCAGTTGTTGCAGTAGTGGAAGACATAATAACCCAATTTGTAAATTTAGCTGTCATTTATGAAAAGTAAGATTGAAGTTGCTACAACTTTTCCAGAGTTTCCACCAAAAAATCATAAACTACTTCTCCTTCAAGATATGATGCATGAATATACTATACATTTCTCTTGGTAGGATGCAGCAAAACAAATATTAATTATATCTTAAAAAGTAAACACCAGTTTTACATATCTCACTAACATTTTGTGATGCTTAGTTTGTGAGATTCAGATATGTGCGCACTTCGTGTGATATAACTATTTTATTGCTATTGTTGCCTTCTGAGATAACTTTTTAGTAAATAAGTATGTTTGTTGTCTTTATTTTTGTGCATTCAGTGTATTGTATTGAACAAAATGGTTATCCGGCCCACATTCGCCATTATCTGGCTCTCTGAAAAAAGTTTGGTGACCTCTGATATAGATGAACTGTTGTTGTTGCTGCCATTGTCAATTTGGTTTATGAATTTGGTAACATAGTAATTGTGATTTCAATAAGCCGAAGAGAACATACTTAGAGACAGTTGAATCAGAGCAAGCAAAAATTGAGCAGTATAAAATAAGAACAAGAAGAGTTATCACCCCTGGACATGGACAATCTATCCTTGTAGATTAAATAATGGATTAAGTTCAAAATTCCCTGAAGGCTGCCCAAATCACAGGAGGGCACATTGTGATAACAACAACAAAGGTGAGAACATTAGTCTGAATGTAAATAATGGAAAGCTTATTGATCAAACTACCATGTACTACCTACAAGTTAAATATATTAAAGACCTATTTAACCAATTTTCACAAGAACATATTACCTGAAGTTGGAAGACTTCTTCAAAAAGAAAAATATTTATTGCTGTAGACAATTTATTACTGTAGACCTCTGGATTAGAATGACTTATCTATTTTCAATCATTCTGATCAAATTCCACTAGTTTTACTATATACATAATCATTGAAACGTCTGCATCTGAACACAATAGCTTTTTCTTTTTCTAGTTGGAAATAACCATTTTTGGGGATGGAGTTAATGCATGTGATGCATATGCAATGGGATGCTGCATCTGCAGAATGCATGCTCCAAGTCCATCTTTTGAACTGTCAACTGATAAGTTCTTTTGCATCATAATATTTTAGAACCAGAGCACTTGTTATTAGCTACCTTCCATGAAAGTGGAGCATTGTTCACATGGTGCAGAAATGTCTCATAAATTTTGGACCATTCTCAAAAATCTCAGTATTTCTTCCTTGTTTGTGGCATGTTAATCATTGCACGTATATGTTCTAGGTTTGATTTAACATAATGATGAGTGAGTAGATGACCAATATAGCTGACTTCATCCTTGCTGATTTCTGCTTAAGCAGGATTTAAGACCTGCTTGAGAAGCTCTGTGGAAAATTTCTTGAAGTCACTTGTCATGTACTTTGTTGGAACTTCCCTATACCAAAATATTGACAATGACTTTTACACCATCAATTCCTTTTTTTTCCCCTTTTTTTACTGTAATGTTCACCCTTTATAAGGCCTGATAGGAGAAGAATATAATGGTTAACGCTAGACTTGAACAGGTTAAAATTGTAGTGATTGGGGAAACATCTTGGGAGTCTGTTCAACAGAGTAGTGGTTCATGAGAAAAAGCTGTTCAAGTGAAACTTACTTCTCACCAATGGAATACGGAGGGAATGTGGGTGGTTAGCTACTATGTAAGTGGCATGGTGGGTCCTAGCTGTAAAGGTTAGACCTGGGGGAACCAAGGAATGTAGTTTGTTCAACCACTTTCCATAAAAGTAGTGAGAGAGCAGTGAGAAGCTCGTCACATCCCACCTGTGAGAGGTTGGAGGGTGGAAAATAATTTGCTACCCACAAGGACTCACATTTGAACTCTATTAATACTTGAAAGTGACTACTGGGAAGCTCCTGCCCAAATATGACAACAGATTTTGGACTGATTTAGCTTTTGTAAATGTAAAGGATAGCATGATGTACTTACTGGAGCAGTACGGGGACCTGACCATTCTACCTGCATCTTTAGTGATGGATCGCTTGTACAAGTTTCACTTGAAGTCAATGTGAACTTGAGGCCCAATATTCTCTCAAGGCACAATACCTCCTCAAGGGAACATCCATTCATTGGAATTCTCAGTAGTTTGTGGTTCAGTTGGTGGTGATGAAATGTAACCAGTTTGGTTTTCAAGACATTTAATGTAACCAGCCAGTTCCCCCACCACCACCCACCACCACTAGAGCAGAAGAGAGATCAGCTGCCAATCTCTGATTGTCAAGAGTTTTAGAGGGACACCCATATATAGTTTTATCACCTGCAAAGATGTTTACAAATGATCTGATTATATTCTTAGGCAGATCATTTGTGTAAATCAGAAAGAGGATTGGTCTGAGAAAAGACTGAGGCCATCTTCCCTCATGTTTTCCATGGCTTGTTTCATAATTTAACCTGAGCTACATAATCCAAGTAATATCTGCTGAGTATGGTATTTATGTGACATGACTTTGATCTCTATGTGTCAGTAGGCTCTGTTGTGCATTATTTTTAGTAATTTCTTATTTGTTGGCAACTTCCTCAACTGTGGTTGTTGGGTGATGCTCACGCTTGATGAATTTTTTCAGGTCTGTAGGATTGATACAAATTTGTAGTCACCTGTTTTACAGTGACCATTGCATTGATCCATACAGTTGGTTCTTGCTGTTTGATTATGAAACCAAGCTACTCCATGCAGTCAAGCTCTCTTTTCACTTTGTCCTTTATTGCATAAGCAATCCTTCATGGGGCATGTATTATGGGTGTAGCATCTGGGTTTCTTTTGATGCAATATTGACCAGGTAGTTTCCCAAGGGCTTCACATAACTGTGGATTGTCTAGTGATATGTTCACAGCATTTACCTTCAGTCTCTTCAGCAGTCCTAGATTTACACATGCATCTTTTCCTAGGATGGATAAAACCTTCAGGTTAATAACTTGAAGATAGTGCATTTCAGTTTTACCTGCACTTTGAGTTAGATTATGTGTTGACTTTAACTCTTTAGTTGGATGCTGGTCGTCTGTAATGGATTGGTGTAAAATGTACATTGGTGTATATTTGTGGATCTTATATGCAGACCTGTGTTGTAGTGTCCAGCTTGAATTTAATAGTTGTAGTATTGTTTATCTTGATCTCTTGTGTCCAGTTGAATGTCACCACATTTTGCCATTGAAAAATAAGTATCGGTAAAAAGATGAGTCATCACTTCCAACGCACCTTTTGGTTTAGATTAGCACATGCTAGTAAAATGGTTAGGTCTTTGGTATTTTGCACATGTCTTTCCATAAATGAGGCGTTGTTTTGGTGGGTGCTTTTTTTTTTTTGGCATTTACCAGATAAAATGTGAGATTTTGGACTGGTGTTCTGATATTGGTATGGTGGGTTTTTAGACTTCTCTTTTTTTTCTTGTTTTGTTTCTCAATCCTTTGTTTTGCTTACTGCCAAAATAGACATTTATCCATTTATGTTTTTTTTTATTTGGGTCATACTGATTTCAATTGCTAGACATTTGTCTGTTGCTGATTTAGCATTAATATAGGGTCCTGAAGTACTTTTTTTCTTTTTTAATCATTTCATTTCAAGCAAGGTAAGAAAACCACTAAGACACAAGAGGTTACTGAGTGTAAGAGAATATGAGAAAAAAAAAACACTATTAAAGAGAGAGAACAATAAAATAACAAATACTAAGACAGAAGGTAACAATTGACATAGCATTTAAATTTTTGAAAATTGAAGTTGACTGGGAAGCAAGAAGTACAATAGAAGAAACTGTTAGCATAAAGCTTACAGATACATCTAGTCAGTTCAACTGTAAAATGATGCGACCTTGCCACCAATCTAATACTACCTTTAAATATCTTAAAATCTACATACTGCAGAGGAAAGTTCACCAGAACAATTACCATAAAAGTATTTATAAAAAAAGCACAGAGAAGTTACATTACAGTGGTGGGAAAGTGACTGAGGGTGATTTGCCAGGTCAGGACCAATAACATTGCATATTCTTTGTATTTTATCAAGAATATGTAAATATATAGCAGAAGCACCAGACCAGATGTGGCAGCAATATTCAAAGCAAGGAAGAATAGTAGACTTATAAACATGTAAGATAGATTCTGCTCAGAAAATTATCTAGCATGATATAGTGAACCAATTTCCCTAGCTGCAGACTTAGCAGTTGAGTCAATATAATCTTTCTGTTTCATGTCAAAGGAAAACATTAGTCCAAGAAGGTGCTCTTAATCACTCTCCTGGAGGTTAGCATCAGCTATGCTGAAGGAAGGTTTTTCTCTCTTTGATGATTAAAAGAGAGCAGTTTTGTTTTAGAGGCTGTAAAATAAAGCCATTCTTTTTCCCAGTTGACAATAGATTATTTTTGAGTCAGGTACTAATTTGACCTTATCAAACTGATCAGACTTACTTTTAAGACAGGTGTAACTAATTGTATCATCAACATAGATACAGAGTTGATAACTGATGACATCAGGAAGGTCATTTATGAAAACTAAGAACAATGTAGGTCTAAGGATAGAGCCCTGGGGAAACCTGCATTAATGCAAAAAGATCTCGGAAGAGTGGCCATTCAAGATAACTTTTATTATACAATTTGATAAGAAAGACTGAAATCAGTTAAAAAATTATCTAGAAATACCATTAACTTTCAAGTTGTGAAGAAGAACAGTATGTCAAACCCTGTCAAATACCTTTGAGATATCCAAAGCAACATGTAAGACACTTAACCAATTCACAGTTAATTGGAGCTCTAGTGCTTTGCTAAACAGAGATAGAAAGCTAATAGTCAAAAGTTAAAAAGTTAATTAAAAGGATTAGAAAGTTTGCCTGAGTTTTAAGAACTGCAGAAGATTTCAAACAAGTAGGAAAGTAAGAAACAGCAAAACATTTATTGTAGAGTTTAGAGAGAAGAGGAGCTAGTTCAGGAGCACATTTCTTAAGGACTATTGCAGGGATATCATCAAGGCCACATGCTTTGTGAGGATCCAGTTTAGAGCTGATAGCAGAAACCATGGATGGATTAATAGCATATCATACAATAGAGTTCTAAGTGGAAAGTCAGGCAATGAAACTCCAGATGAGTCAGATTAACCAAATTAGTAGAATGTAAAGAAGATTTATGAGCAAAACATTCTGCAGATTTTAACACCACAAATTCAGTGAGGAGAGGAGGAATAGAATACTTAATCTCATTTAACTCACTGCCAGTGGTCATGTAAACCAAACTTGTTAGAGGCTATATAATGACTTAGCCTCTTTGAGGACAAATTTAAAATTATTGTGAGCAGACACAAATAGGTGCCTGTTGTGACTAGAACTATTATGCTGGTTCACCTGGAAAAAGTGATTCCTGTTGGCTATAGTCCACAGGAATCATTCAGTAGTTGAACCACGGAGAAGATTATGGTTTCACCTGTTATTTGCAAGAACATACAAAAGCATCCATGAAGAAACTTCTGTGTTTCAAACCAAGGAATACTTCATTTGTTTTTGTTATTTCCAAAGGTTGTCTGTTTCAGCCCTTTTGTATTTTTTTGTACTTGTGGGTGGGTTGTGTTTTTTTGATACCATATTATATGTTGTTGTACACATCTAAAGAAATAATTCAAACACATTAACATTTGAATCTGCTGGGTGCTATTACAAATGGGGAGATGACAGACTCATAGCAAATCTTTATTGCCATTCTGATTGTTTAATAAGGAAATGAGCTAAGGGAGATAATTAGGTTTGTACTCAATACACCACAATAACTATTTTAAAACATGTTTATAGTCTTTTTTTCTAGATAGGGATGTATTTGGAGTTAAAAACAAGAGTTAAAAAAATAATATTGGAGTTATATCTCCTCTTGTCACCAGGTGAGCATTTTTTCTTGTCTCTTTACAATTACTCATGTTTTCCTCTTCTAGTCCCTCTTTGGTTGGTCAGAGCTTTTCTTCTCTGATCTCTATGGTTATATCTACAAGAAGTCAAACTTCATTTTCACAATGTCTTCATTTATTGAAGGCAATTTCATATTCATCTAGCATCTTATTAGCAATGGTCAACAAGACTGACCTGCAGGCACTTTTTCTTTTACATGAAGAAAGTATGTGTAGTGGCATAGGCAAAATGAACTTGACCTATTTTGCATAGAGTTAAGCAACTGCTAATAAGTTAGTTGTCACTCAGCACAACTGTGGAACATCTACAACACAGTAATATGGCATTGACGATAGGATCTCTAACAATGTTGGATGAGCAGGGCCTTGTGGAAACATGGATTTGTTGTTTTGTTGCCCAGGCATGGACCAAGAAGTTAAAAGACCACAAAATTGCAGGTGGGGAGAACAAGATTACAGATCTCGTTTTGGCTTTGGCAGGATGTGAGGCCATCAGAAACATCTTTGCCATGATGTATCTCAGAGAATTGGGGTATTTGAAGTTGGTTACTGTGGAGAGGACAAAGTTTCTCACATGCAAACATGAGCCAAACAAAACAATAATACAGTATGTTCATAAGCTACAAGAGGCTTGCAGATTTTGTGAGTGTGAAAAACTTGATATTGGAGAAATGACTATCAAAGATGAATTGATACAGTTGAGATTAATTGAATATATGTGTGATGCTTTGTACAAACACAAAATTTTAGAACAGTTAAAATTGACTAAAATGTCCTTGGATACATCTATAGAATTTCTGCAATATATCTAGCACTAATGCTGAAGCATACAGCATATCCAATTACCTTGTGTGGTGAAAGTACTGCAATAAAAAGTATAAACAGGACAAGAAAAAATGTCCAGCTTTAGGACAAGTATGCTGGAGTTGTGAAAAGAAAAATCCTTTCCTATCTGAAATGTGAAGTGGATGCAGCCAAATTAATCAACAGTTGACATGAGGATGTTAGCAGGATACAAAGTGCGCATTCAATTAAAGGAAAATAGTCACCTCTCCTATGTTGAGTCTCACAGACTGCCCATTCACATGCTCACCTGTTTCAGTTGTGTTTAAGTTTTTTGACCTGAGAAATTCTTAGGTGAAATTAATTGTAAGATCACCATACACCCTGAAAAGAGATTCATATTACACCACTGCAAATGATGTAATCTGCAAAAAAATAGAAATCAATTATACCCTGTCACTCCAGTGGTTCTAAAACTGACTGTATGGTAAAGAAAGGAAACTAAAATATTAGTTCAATTGATTTGCACAAGAGAAATAAAAGAAAAGTGACTTTCAGCACAGATCATCCATTCTTTCTCATAGAAACAGTAACAGTTTACAGTCACACTTTAATTTATTATCAAAAACCCCTCAGGTTTTCCATGTGTCCATTGTTTAAAAAAATTCTTAACACTAACTAGATTTCCTTGATAAATTAACATTATCTTGTAAATACAATCATGAACCTTAGCATTTTTTGTATTTTCATGAATTACCTGCCTATTCCATAAAAAGAAGAAAATTAGTGATTTGACAATGTTTTGTCCACAAAGCATATATGCCCAATTTTTATTTATCCATATTCTCTTACAGTAATTTCATTTTAAAAATTCTTGGGTAACAGTCCATCAAGAGAGCTACTCACACTTTCAATATCTGTTTTCTTTAAGCTGACATCATCCTCTGGAGCTCCTCCTTCTGGATGAACCTTCTGATCTCATTCTTTGGTTCAAATTTCATTTTCTCTGGACTTTTCAAAATAGCAGAAAAACAAAAAATGTAGGGAAAAAAACAGACCCCAGTGTGCTTCTGGTATACTAGTAAAATCCATATTACTTAACTTTGTTAGTTAGGATTTTTATCATGTAATCAAGTTAATTCCAATTCCATCTGACAACCAGGTGTACAAAGCCCAAGATCCACTTGTGGTAGAGGATTACAGAGTAAGTGGTACCACCCAAATCAAGGTGATGATACCACTAAGTCACAAAGGGACACTGGAAGTAAAAGAGAAGGAAAAGGCTTTAGAAGAAAACTCAATCTTAAGTTAGAGTTGAAGTAAACTTTAAAATTGCTTGCAAGGACACCTATCCATGGTGTGACATGCCACTGCAAGAACCCTGATATTATGTGACTTGATCAGAGCATCCTCTGTAGGTGCTTACTCAAGAGTTTGGGCTCCTAACTACCCTCTGCCAACCTGGTACCATCAGTATGAAGAATCGCAACTACAAGCCAGTCATATGACCAAAAATTCATGACAGTCTCCCTTATTAAAGCCTCAAAAGAAGGAACTGGAAACCCCATGCTAAACAGGAAACAAGGGATAAACCACTACTCCTGTTCAAAAGAAAGTGAAGGAGTATGGACTGGATGATAGGTAGATCTACTATTAAAAATTGTCTGTTTGTTCATATCTGTTTTCTCCTCTTTTTTTTATTAATGTGTGCATTTATAATTCTTCTTCATTTGTGCATGAATCAAATGACATTTTAATAAACACATAAGCAAAGCAACTAGCTTATAACATGTCAACTTTTCAATTGATGATAAATTATCTTTGTTCTTTCTTACAGTGATCTTGCTACAGCTGATATCCTGCCATTTGATCTTCGTAGATATTCAAATATCATTGCTGTATATGTCTACTCACTGAAATCTGATTATGAACATTCTTGGAAAAATCATTCAGTCAACTATGGTAAATAGCTTTTCTAACAAGTCTCTATTCTGTTGTTATCAAGGTGATCTATATACCAGGCCTTGCAACCATGTGACTGGGGTCCATGATTGGAGGAAGCCTAAATCTATATCTATAATCCTCAAAATGTGTGTATGTATGTATGTATGCATGTGTGTGTGTGATCGGGTGTTGTTTATGCATTTCCAGTTTTCATCTGATTTTGATGAAATTTTTTTTGTTTGATAGATAATTCTTAAGTACCAATTTTGAGTCCAAATTGTTGGCGACAATGGCTCTCCACTACTTCCTGTCCATTATAACTCTCAGCAACATTTTACTATTCACTATCTGTTCTTGGATATATATCTTTCATAAAAACTTTAATAAAAATAAGTAGTTTAAATTATTACAATAATATTATATATATCTATAATTCTTAAAATGTGGGTGTCTGTGTGATCAGATGTTGTTTATGTTTCCACAGTTTTCATCTGACTTTGATGAAACTTTTTTTTGTTTGATAGATAATTCTTCAGTGCCGGTTTTGAGTCCAAATCAGCTGGAAAAAATTACAACCTTGAAGGGGAAAAATAAAAAAAAATGATTTTTTTACACTTTGCGCAAAAATCAAAGGCAAAATTTAATTTACTTTTTCACGCATAACCTTCCAATCCTAGCTCATGCTGTGTGGGCATGATTCATACCTCCACACATTGCCCATTGGTTGTGCTGACCTTGATAATGTGTGCAGCGACGTGTGTACATGTGGCACTGCAACAAGTGCTGCATCACACGCTGATGCACGTGCATACACATGACTTGCAGAACACAACATTCAAATTGCCCTTTTACACATCCAATCAAATGTCGCTGTGTCATACTGACTGTGTCAGTCCTAAGGTCATTGTTACCGCTTAATTCCGCAATTTGCTTCTACTTCTGTATGTCCAGCCCTGCTTACACGTTCCCCTTCTCTTGGCCAAGCTTCAATCTCTCTCAAGTGAGGTTACCCTTTTCCGTTGCATAAAGCCTACTACTACAGTTTTAAGGTGTTGCTTTCATTGTTATTTATAGCCATTCCCAATTTAAATTTTTTTATTGTCCTGCTAGTTTTTGCATTGCATTCACCATAGTAATAAGCTTGCTTTTTTATTACTCAACTCTTATTTTTCCAACCTTTCCTAAAGTTATTCAAGCTTAGTGATCCCTATAGCTTTACATCGTTCTTTTCTGGTATTTGCCCATGCATTTCATTTGACAATTCATACTTGCCTAAGACATGCCACTAAAGAAAAGAACTTGCCTATGTCACAAAACTGCTTCCACTAGGTCAGCCATGCAAATAAGAGATAACGAATCTTTAGAACATTCAGTTCACCTGTCTCAAAATGCCTCTCGTAATGCTTCAATCCAAGCTTCTGAGCTTTCCAGAGAGCATACCTGAATGCTTCTGCATGCAAGGCTAAAAATGATGATCAAAAGGACTCAACAGCTGAGAAGAAACACCCATTCAACTGATGCAGCATGTGAGGCTGAAACAAGATTGAGAACTCAAAAACAGCCCTTTTCAGTGCCACTTCCCCCCTCCCCCATTCAAATTGTTCAATGACTAAACTAGTATCTCTTGTTAATGATTTCATTCTTTTTTATTACTTTCCTTCCATACTTTTTGTCATTTTCCCAAAATTAGAAAGAAATAATAGATATTTATCATCTAAATCTAATATCACTTTTTTTAGTGGATCATTTTTCTTAGTGCCACCTTATATTTATTTGACACAGACAATTTTCCAAAATTTCAAGACTTTTTCAATGAAATTAACTTTCCTCTCCTATTTAATAATGAGCATGTTTTAATGGCAGCTACAGTTTGATCATAAAAAAACTCTTGAAATAATGGGAAACATTTTGTTGCTCAACAGGTTTTGGGTAAACTGCTACATTAGTTAGTTTTGACAGCTTAACAAATTGAGTTTTTTCATACTCAAAAGAACATTTCACAATCTCTCATTTTGCTGTCGTTTTTTTTTCCTTCAGAAGAAACAGTAATTCAGAAGTAGGTTCAGTAATCCAATTATTCCAAATATTTTTAAAAAGGTGGATATAAGCAAAAGTACAAACCATTTTTAGTTATCCAAGGCTTATTAAAAACAGTGTCAAATTGTTTGAAACAAGATTGATGGGTTTTTATCATATACAATTGCATTTACTTGACCATTTAATTGTTTGATTGCATTAACAATATATAAAAACTTTTCATATAAAAAAGTTGCATCTAATTTTGCAACTGGAATCATTTTAAGTAAAATCTTTGGTCCCAACGTTTTACCATGATGTCCAATACTGTTTTTGGTAATACCTCAGAATTTTCAGTCAAATCAAATAAATTTCCTCCATGATATTGTAGAGCAACTTTGGCATACATGTCATCAACTAAAAGAATACACTTTTTCTGATTTTCAGAAATTTTATCACCAAGAAAATTAAAGTCATCTAATTTTGAGACTTTTGATGCCAAAGCTGATAATATTCTCACTTGGTAACTTGTAGCAAAATATTCAAATGCCCTGATAAGAATATCAGAAACATAATGTTTTATTCCAATCCTTTGTGGTAACATAACATTAACATATTCTTTTAAAAAATTTTTCATAGCAATTTTCAAGTTGCTAAGATAACGAATTGCTTCATTGATTTGTGATCAGAGCTGAAACATTGATATTTGAATTTTTGAAAGAGAAAAAAAATTGTTGTATATATACCAACATAGTAACATTCAAATCTCAAGTTTTCAAAAATGTTAATTAAAACATTGTAATACCGCCAGTGAAAAAATCAATAGATTGGATAGTTTGATTTATATAATGTAACTGCTGATACAAAATCCTGTTGATCAATATTCTGATACAAATTTTCAAAAGTGAGGATCTTGTCCTTTTTTTAGAAACAGTGCCAACTCATCATTTTGCACAATTTGCACAGAAGTAGAAGCTTTATTTGTTTGTCCTGGTTTTGGTTGAGGACTAGGTAATGGCAAATAATCAATGATGGTGGATTTTGGGGTTGTACTTTTCCTCTAATAACCATCGTTTCATAATCAAATAGAAAATTCCTTTCACATATAACAGTGTTTGGTTTGTCAGGGGTGTTATCTTGAGGTATAGCCTTTAACCATCATTCTCACTTCTGGTCTTAGGGAAGACGAAATATACAAACTTTATTTTGTATATAGTTATCACAACAACCTGTTAAACAGCACTTTTTGACCATTTTGAGAAAGATTTGTAATACTGAAATTAAAAATATTGACTAAACTACTATTTTGTAAAAATTTCATAATACTTCTAAAATGTGTATGAAAATTATATTCTAAGGTCTGAAGGACTTTGGAATTTAGGTTTCAGAATTTAAAATTTAAAGTTTGTATGACCTTTTAGAGACCAACATGGATTAAGAAATTTGGGATTCAGACATGGGAATTTTAGAATTTAGAAAATTAAATTTTGGATAATCATATTTTACAGTGTGGGGGTGCATATCAATCCCCTCCTCTCCCATAAGATACTACCTAAACAAAATTAAGCACTTTAATATTTTTACAGTATATTTTTTTTTAAATTTACTGTAAAAATATTAAACTGGTTAATTTTATAACTTATTCATTAAAAAATGAATTTTATAATCAAAATATTAATTATTATAAAGAATAAAAACATAATGAAAAAATTTAAATTAACTTTCTGTGACAAAATTTTTAATAATGAGATTTTTTGTGAATTTCGCTGTTTAAATTAAAATAATCGCAAAAACAGTAAAATGAGAAAGATGATATTGACAAGATAATGGTGTCACTTTTACATCTTTGTGCTATCTTTTTATTAGTTGTAAAATATTAATATCAAAAATTAAATTCAGTAATAAATTTAACATTATGTGATAAATTCTTTAATGAGTGTCATTTTTCATTAATTTTTTCAATGGAAAAATTACATTTTTATTTTTTAATGTCTTCTATTTATTTACAAAGGACAGAAAAAAATCAACATACTTTTTTGGAAAAAATACCTATTAATTTATTAAAGAAAAACAAATTATTCATAAAAAATTCAGGTAAATGTTGGTTTTGTTCCCGAGCGCTAATATCCCTTAAATTTTTTCCAAAATCATCACAATTCTGTGCTGAACTCAAATTAACAATTAAATTTTGAAGAAACCTTACCGTTTTGGAGTTATTGACAAGAAAAAATCGGACTTCTTGTCGGTCTTTCTTCAGCCATTACCGGCTTATTTAGAAGTAATTCACTGCAGCACACTTTACAGCGGAGTCATAAAAAAAAGTTACATTTCTTTACGGTAGTGCGTAGTGCTTTTCTGCAAGGAAAGTCTGTAAAAGAAGTAAATAGGCCCAAATTTTATGACTCTGCCGTAAAGTGTGCCGGCTGACGAAAGACCAACAAGAAGTCCAATTTGTTTTTTTGTCGATAACTCCAAAACGGTAAAGTTTCTTCATAATTTAATTGTTAATTCGAGTTCAGCAAGTAAATTTGCACAGAATTATGACAATTTTGGAAAATTTTAAGGGATTTTTACCACTCGGGAAATAAAACCAACATTTACCAATGGTAAATTTTTATTTTGTTTCCCGAGCGCTAATATCCCTTAAAATTTTTCCAAAATAGTCTTATTTCCGTGCAAATGTACATGCTGAACTCAAATCAACAATTAGATCATGAAGAAACCTAACTTTTTGGTTGTTAACGACCAGAAAAAAAATCGAACTTCTTCTCGGTCTTTCATCAGCCATTACCGGCTTATTGAGAAGTAATTCACTACGGAAAGATTTTGGTGGAGTCATAAAATTTGGACCTATTTACTTCTTTACAGACTTTCCTTGTAGAAAATCACTACGCACTACTGTAAAGAACTTTAGGGTTAGTTCTTAAGGTCAGGGGTGGGGTTTTCTGTGTAGAAAAGGGGACAATTTAAAAACAAATGAAATAATACAATCAACTCTTCTA